TGGTTGTAAGCAATTTCTGTTATTATTATTGAAATAATTTCACAGTGATCCTGTGCAGTTCTGCTCCCCTGAGGCTCCCTGCACCCTTTCCTGCAGCCCCTGCTGCTCTGGGTGTCACCATCACTGCAGTTTGCTGAGCTGCCTGCAATTATCCAACCAGTGGTTTGTTCACTGGGTTTGCTGAACTGGATAACATTTGATTTGGGCAGTCAGAATTCTGCTTTCTTGCAATAAACTCGACTCCAAGGTTTGAACATGGAGCTGTTCCTTGGGGTGCCCTAACCCTGCTGTGGGAGGAGGGCAGTGCTGCTGCTGTGCTGCAGGGGCTGGCAGTGAGTGGCCAACTGCTTTAAAGCTTGATTTACTAACTCATAGCCTGGGGAAACAGTGAAACTTCCCTGCTTTGAAAGGTCTCCTCTGGCTGCTGCCCTCACCTGGCTCCTGCTTGGCAGCAGCACAGCTGCTGGGTCAGGAAAAGCCTGTTTTGCCCAGAGGCCGCAGTGACTTCAAAATATATATATATATATATGCATTAAATATACATACATGCAATATATGCGCATTAAATATGCATATGAGCAATATCTAGAGATGCATTAAATATATATATTTATTTTTGCTCGTGGGCTCTTTCTCAGGCTTGGCCAAAGCCCAGGGAGCTGCTGGGCAGTGGTTGGCACAGGGCACCACTCTGATGGTTGCAAAGTGCATTTGGATGCTGGGGCAGGGGTGGGCAGAGGAGCTGAGGCTCCCTGGTGGCAGGAGAGCAGCCCTGGGTTCTGTTTCTCCTTCCTTTCGTCGTTTTTCGTGCTCTCATAGTGGTGCTCATTGCCACAGGTGCTGAGCAGAGCCAACACTCCCTAAAATGTTTAACCCCTCCTGCATGTGATGTGCAGTTTGTCCCTCCTCTGTTGCATCCTGCTGACTCCAGTGCTCTTCTGCCCCAAACCCCCGTGGTGTTGTTGGGGATGGAATTCCAGCTGAAAGCCCATTTAGTCTAAAAGCACATCTCCTCTGGCCATCCAGCCTGGCTGATAATGCTTCAGGGACGTTTGTCCTGCCCTCCTTAATGAGAGCTTAGTGCATGTTCCAGTTGTTTGTAAAGAGCTTTTTGTTTTCCTCCTGCAGCAGAAGGAGGGGTAAGCCCCTGTGAGGCTGTTCTAGATGGGTGTTTAGCTCTCAAATCAGGATTTTCTTTTTTTTTCCCATCTTGAACAAGATTCCTGTTAAACTCCATTGTGGCCTTTGCTGAGTAATGCTTTGCTGCAGGCTTTTTGCTCTTGTTTTCAGCTGAATTTTCAGGATCTATAGGTGAAAGGACTCCAGCCTTGCTTGGTAATTTCTTGCTGTGTGTCTTCAAAGAACATTTTCATCTGGCACGTCTAAAGTGTGCTGTGTACCTTAACGAGATTCTGTGAGGTGACTGAAGTGGGAAACAGAGACATTGCTCACTTGGTCCGTGCAATTTGTTTGCAGTATTGTGGCAAATGCACTGATCTGCAAACCAGAGGGATCCTCTATTTCTTGTGCTCTGAAGGACCTAGAAAAGCTGAGTAAGATGTGCAACAGGCAAGAGCAGACGATTTGAAGCGCTTCTTTGGTGCTGTCATCCCACATCTCTTCAGCAGTAATACAAATTAAATACTGCTTGACTGCAGCGACTCTGGGCTCTGTTGCTGGAGTCTCAATTGGCTTAAGAGGGGAAAAAAAAATAAAAAAGTCTCACTGCCGGGAAATTAAATGCAGAGAGAAAAAAAAAAAAATCCACTTTTGTGAGCAGCCCTTCCATCTTTTATTATGATTTCTGTGTAATTCCTCCCCAGCATTCATCCAAAGCCAGGCAGCTGCTATCTGTAGCGACTCAGACTGCACTTGGGGGGCTGCAAAGCCAGCCTTGAAATGCAGTATTAATACTTTTTTTTTTTTTTTTCTGTTTGCTTTGGGTGGTGTTTTGCATGCCACTTTTGTTCAGTCTGCGTTTGTGGAATGTTCTTACTCTTTTTGTTTTTTCCTCCTTCCTTACAGCTCACCTTTTCTCACGTTGTTTGCTCAGGGAGGGAGTGCAGTAAAATTAAAGGGAGGGTTGTTGTCCTCGTGTCAGCCAAATTAATACCGTGCAGCACAGAATTTCCATGGGCTGGTTGGATGGATGGAAATGGGATTTCCCACTTGCTCTCAGTGCAGGATGAGGCTGAGGAAGGAGCCCCTGGGAGCAGGAGCAGCCCTTGCCTTGGTGCTGGGCTGGGCAGGGAGACCGATGGCCTGGAGATGGAGATGGCACAGACACTGTCACTGATGGGCTCAAATCCCAGCGACACCCCAAGCTCCAAGCCTGGGCTCCCAGGGGCAGGGACACTCATCCCCCTGTCCCCCGTGTCTCTGCAGCTCTCCTGTGTGGCTGTGGAAAGGGGTTTTAATCCTTTAAGTGTGGTGGAAATAAGGTATATAATTACATTATTGTTTTTTATGATAGGAAGAAAGAGATAAGCTTATTTAGAAATATATTTGATTTTATAGTATGACTTGTAACTTTAAGAGTAGAGAAGAGGTGATTGGTTTAGAGAGAAGATATTTTATTTTTAGGGTTTGGTTATGTACTACAACAGGTGGTTTATTTTGTTATTAATTTTTTTTTTATTTTGACTAAATAATCACCTTGGGAGAAATTCTCCCAAGCCTTGAGCTGGATCAGCTTTTTGGCTGAGAACAGAGCTGAGAAGCTCCAGCCTGGAATATTTTTCAGGCTGTAATTTTCTGACTTTCTCAATATGTGTCCCACACTCCTGGGCAGTGCTCAGCCTCTGCTCTGGTGCCTCCCCCAGCCCAGCAGCAGCCAGAGGATTTCCTGGAGATAAACAGCTCTGGGCCACATGGTGAGGATTTCTCTCCTGACTGGGTGGATTTCACTCATCCAGTATCCTGGCATGACTGTGCCTGCAAGCCCCAAGGATGAATCTGTTGGTCATCGTGGTACCCAGAGATGGAAACATTCCCAATGTGTCTGGGTCATGATTTTGGCTGTGGAGCAAGAGGTGAAGGAGGTGATTTCTATTTCTCTTCCCTTTTATCTCCTGCTGCTTCTGTGGAAACATTTGTCTGCAGGACAGCAAGGGGCAGAGTTAGAAAACCACAGCTTTTATGGCTTTGGAGTTGAAAAAGTTGCTCAGAGCCCAGGTGAATGAGGAGCATGGGGAGGTGCTGGGACCTTGGGTACCCACTGAGGGATGGAGGACACCCCAGGATGCTGGTGCAGGACCTGGGGAGTCCCTGCAGGCTGGACCTGCCCTCCCCTCCCTCCTGTTTGGGCTCTTTGGGACATGGGAGAGATTCCTTGGGCGTCCTGGGTGCCAGCCCTGGCTTTTGGGGTGCTGTGGTGGGGTACACACTGGCAGGGCAGTCTGCAGCCAGGCAGGCTCACTTCCCAGGGGAAAGGCAAGAAAGTGCTCTGGGAAATGGGCTTCTGGCCAGTCAGCTGGCAGCCTGGCTCTGAAATGCTGGGAAAACTTAAAAAGGGGTAAAATGTTTGTAGGTGGCAGAGGTTAAGGGTAACGTCTGGCCAAGCTGGGATGCATAACATAGCATTTAGGGGTTTTTTGTTTCCATAACTGAAGAGCTCAGGCTTTCAGAGGACCAGAAAACAACGGGAAAACCAACAAATTATAGCTCTGCTGAGTGATGCAAGCACTGACAATTGCAAACTGGGAGGTTTTTTTTCCATGTTGCTCTTATTTTAATTTTTGCCAGGCCAAATCACTGCTCTGGAGAGCTTGCTGCCCTGCTGAAATAGCTGCTGATGAACAGACATATGTGCACAGCTTGAGCCGGGGAGAGGAGGGAGGAAGAGTTTTGAAGACGGGAAGACCTCGTTGTATTTGCTTTGTGACCTCTGCAAAACATTTGGCTCTTATTCAAAGTCCTTTTTCTGTTCTCCAGCCTGAAGTGTTCCTATGAGCCTGGATTTTATATGCTGGCGGCATGCTGGTCAAACTTTTCTTTTGGGCTGCCAAAAATAAGGATCTGCTGCCTGTGTTTAAAGATGAGCAATGGTTTCATAACCCTGGCTGCCAACGGGGCGGGGGGGGGGAAAAAAAAAAAAAAAAGGAATTGAGATGCTGAAAACTTCTGAAGGTCGGCGATTGTGTTTGAGCAGGAGCAACAGATTTTGTAGAGAACAGCAGCACTGAAGCAATGCTGCCCCAATTGATGGTGCTTTGGCTTTGTGCATCACTCAGTGAGCCTGGCTTTGTAGCAGTGCTGCTGAGCAGAGGCTGTGAGTGCAGCCATTGTGCCGTGTCTGCCGGGAAGATGCAGGGCTGCCTGCTTTGAGGGTACACTGCCTCCAGGAGGAAAAACAAAATCCGTGCCAAGAAAGGTCTTTTCAGCTGTCACCCCTGTCCATGGCACTCCTCAAGTCCAGGATAGGGCTGGGCCCTCCTTCAAATTTATTAACTAGGGGAAAAAAACCTTGTGTTTCCTCTCTCCACCCTCATGAAACTTCTCAAGTAGCCTTTTCCCCTGTTCTCTCCACCCAGCCATGTCTGTCTGTTTTTATCAGTGCCTTTGTTGGCTAAGTCAACTTTTCCAGGAAAGGCAGCCTGGCTGGGCTCTGCTGCTCCCCAGCACGCTGTCCTTGCTGAAGGTGATCTCCCTGTGGCACTCATGGGACAGAGGGGGCTCTGGGCTGGTGCCCCTCACTTGCACTGAGGCTGGTGAGATCTGGTTCAGTGCTGGAGCTCATCGTGTTCTGCTTGGCCATCCCCAGGGATGAGGGCTGGTGTTGAGTCCCATCGTGGGCTGTGCTGTGAAACCCCCAAATGCTGGCCCTTCTCCCATGGCTCCTCTTCTCTCTGCTCTTGTTTTCAGCTCTGGGGGCTCCCATGGTTGCCCCTTGGCTGGAGCCAGCTTAGCCCAGCCCTCACTCCTTGGTGCTCGTGTTCTGTCCCTGGCTGGAATATCAGTGGGAGCTCCAGCCTCAGCACAGGGGAAGGGATACTGGTTTAAATTTCAACTTTGTGTTTTCCCAAGGTACCAGCCTTCCCATCCTGCTTGGGAATGAGCAGCCAAGTCCTGTCCAGTGGGAAATGAGGTCGGGCAGTGTGTGCCTCCAGCCCTTCCTCTCCTGGACCTATGAGCTCCCAGAATTGCAGATACACTGGTGGCTGGTTGGTTGTTTTTTCCAAGGTCTGGGCACGTTATTGACCCTTCCATGCAGCCGCAGGGACAGTGGTGGGGTTGATCCTGCTCGGTGAAGCTCCCCCTCTAAACCAGGAGCTCTGTCTGGATATGTGGTCGCTGTGGGTAAGCAGAACCCGAGCTGCTGAATTATTAAAGGGTGTTCTCAAAGCATCCCTTGTACCCTCATGGAAATGACTGAGGACAAAGAGTCAGAGGAGAATTGGCAAATGGAAATCTCAATTAAAAAGATATCGCTCGGGCAATGAGGTTGATGTGCTGAGCAGCTTCCCGAGGCTGATGGATGTTTTGGGGAGGTTACAGGAAATTTATGGAGGCTTTTTAAAATTGTGGATGTGTTTTCCTTTGTTCTTCTGAGGCTAAAAGAAACAGGAGCTAGAACAGGCTGTTTTGGGAGGTGCTGTTGTTTTTGCAAGCTTTTTTTGTAAATCAGGTCGCCTCCTCTACTACTTTCATGATAAATGGAACAATACAGGAGCAATTAGACTTTAAACTATTCATGAGATCGAAGCCAAGTAACGTGATTTAATCTTTCTTTTGCATGTCTTTAAGCTGTGGTTTCATTCAAGTGTTTGAGCTTTGTACTTGTACTGTATAATCTCTGGGTTTAGCAGATGATTTTTTTTTTAAATGCCTGTGGTTTTTTATTAGATCTGTTTTCTATGAGTTGTTTGTGTTTACTTTGTGGCTTCAAGTTATCTTCAGCAAACATGAAAGGAGAGGTTTTTTTTACTAGTTAGTTCTGGTTTTGGTGCTTTCTGGAACTGTAGTAAATCAAATGGTGGTGGTTTTTTAGTTTTTCTTCTGCCGCTGTTTTTTTTTTTTCAGGAAACAGGGCCAGAAGGTAGCACAGACACTTGCTTTCCATATGGGGGATATAATTAAACACTGTTTGCAGCTGCCCTAGAAATATTCCCCTTGAAGTGGCTGCAGAGCACAGGTTCACCTCTCCTGTTGAACTCAGTCTAACTCCATTAATTTTTACCCAGGCTTGCTAATTTTTATCCAGGTTTGCAGTTCTTATCCAGTGCCATCTGGGTGCTGTGCCTGGTGGTGTGGTGGATTCCAAGAAAATGGGGAGGGGAGGTGAAGAGGAGCCTCTCCCCAGGGCAGGCAGGGGTGATTGTGCTGGGCAGGGACTTCCCTGGGAGAAGGGCACAGATGGAGCAGGGGAAAGAGGCACGAAGGGACACTTGCCTGAACTCAGATGGAGAATTTGGGGACTGCTGTGGGCTGCAGATGTAATTCTGCCATCTCTGCTCCAACAGCTTCAAGTCATCAATATGTTGGGTTATTAATTGCATCCATGGGCATTTTTTACTCCTGGCCTGATGCCTTCAAATCATACCCGTTCTTATCTCCTCAAAGATAAATTTACAGTGAAACACCAAGCCTCAGGTGACCTTCCATGGGCACACAGTTGGGCTTTTGAAATTTGGGCAGTTTAAGAAAATAGCCATTATCCACCCTAATGCCTTGATTTCAGAACTGCTGCTTCTGGCAGCACGTGGGCTTCAGAAAAGGGGCAAGTGTGGGAATTTTGGGTTCCAGCAAAGCATTTGGCAGAACACATTCTCCCTGGCATGAGAAGGGTGGTGCTACAGCAGCCCTCTGCCCTGCCAGGTGTGCCCCGTGTGGGTGCAGGGGCCACCTGGACTTGCCCTGGGGGCCACCTGGACCTGCCCCATGGCAAAGCCAGCACAGGGAGCAGCTCCAGGGATGCTCCTGGCAGAACAGCCTGGGTTGCCTCATCTCTATCTCCTCTGATTTGTGTTCCAGCTGAGCTCCTTCAGGAGAAGTCAGGTTTGGATGCCCTGCTGAAAGATTGACTCACTGGGCTTGGTTGGGCTGGGGGAGTGAGCAGGAGCTCTGCACTGAGGCCTGAAACATTGCAGGACAGACCTGCATCTTTGGGGATGCAGATAGGAGAGTGGCTCTGCTCAAAAATGTTTCCTTGCCTCCTTCCCCTCAGCTCCTGGTGTCTGCAGGGTCCTCCTGGTGCTGCTGGTGTCTGCCAGCTGCTGGCAGCTCTCCTGGGTTACAGGGACAAGGCACAGCAGATGGGTCTGTGGTCACCTGCAGGAATCCCTGGGTCCTTGGTGGGGGAATGCAGTGTGGCTTCCCTGGCACTGTCCCCTCTCCGTGCCCAGTCTGACCCTGCTGATCCCTGCACACAGCTCTGCTTCTCACACAAACACCACAGCTCCAGCCCAGGGAGCTGAGAGAGTGCCTATGAGGGGAGTGCAGTTGTTTATTTTTTGAATAATCCATTTGGCAGGTTTGGCTCTAAACAGCCAGAGAATCTCTGGCTTTTGCCTGCACCAGCTCACTCCAGCCCTGTGGGCTGTGTAGAACCCCACCAGGCAATGAGGCAGCTGCTTGAATTGCATCCAAGTAATATTTCCTTTTTTTTTTTTTTTACCATCAGAATTAAAATTTTTCATGAAAGGCAGTCGGAAAAAGTCGTCTAAATCCTCTGCCTGCTAATCTGCATATTTTATAATTTTCCCAAAAGCCTGGCAGTTATTCCCTAAATCTGCCTCTAAGTCTCTGTGTAGAGCCATTATTAAGACATAGCAATCTATTAATGACCCAGCCAGGGCTCGGGCTGGGCTCATCAAAGTGAGAGCTTTTAATTGCTGAGCTCAGCCAGCACCTTGCTGCAGGTGTCTGGTGTGCTGTGGGAAGGTGTGACACCACGGGGAGGTTGGGGGAATGGGAAATGGAATGCTGTGGTTTTTGGGAGCCTGGCCAGACCACGGAGGGAGGGCTGGGATGCTCTGTGGAGTTACAGTGCCATTGTCACCGTGGCACTGCACTCACCTGTGCAGGTGATGCTGGAGGGATTGCAGGCTGAGAGCCCTCCTGGGAGCTGGTGCAGGTAACTCAGTGTGGCTTTGTCAGCCAGCACACCACACCTGCATTTGGGCTCTGCTCTGCTCTGAGGCTTCACACACCCCGTGCTCTCTGTGGGTAGTCAGGAAATCCTTGCCTATACTTTTCTAGAAGTGCTTGAAGCACAACTCCGTGGTTTCCATGCCAGTGCCTGTGAGTGGCAAGCCCCGACCCTGCTCCGTGCCAGCAGCACAGGCAGGGGAAGCTGTCACTTCCTCCCTGGGCTGCAGGGATGTCCCCAGGCACGCCTGGCTCCAGAGCCTGCACAGGAGCACCAGACCTGGGGACATCAGTGCCAGCTGCCTGGCACTGCCCTGCATGGATGGATGGCTCTGTCTCCTGCTCCTGGGGCACAGGTTGGTGATGAGACCGTGGCCGGCACCTCTGTCATGCAGCAGGTACGTCAGGGAACGTTTTTGGGTCTGGTTTGTAGTTTGGAAGAGGGGCTGTTTGCTGCTGTGGTGGTGTGGCTGGGAGGATGGTGGCATTCCCCAGCTGGGAGTGTGTGCCAGCCCTGCCCAGCTTTGCTGCTCACTGCTGGGGTGCTGCTGGCTCTGCTGGGAGGTGCAGGGTGTGAGAATCCTCCTGCTCAGGCAGCAGCCCCTGGAGGTGTGAGGATGGCTGTAGGCAGAGTGGTCAGCACACCTCCCCAGGTATAGGCATGGTGTAAAACACTGCTTTAATTAAAGCTGCTGCAGACATGGGTGGGCAACAGGGGAAGGGAAGAGCTGCTGCTTCCTTTAGGCAGATCCTGCTCCTGATGGAACAGGATCCATTCAGTTGTTGCTATTCCAGGTCCACCATTTTTAACTGTTTAAGTTTTTGGGTTTGACACTTTCCCCAAGCAGCAGTTAGTCCCAGGCCTTCTCTCTTAGCATGTTTTTCTCCAGAGCCCCTTTTCTGTAGCTGGGTTTTGTGTGCACCTTGCCAAGCTGCCAATGCTGAGCCAGATCCAGGCACTGCCAGAGCATCCATCTGCAGCAGGCTGAGCCCGTGCTGGGCAGCTGACATGGGACAGGGATTTGGCGTTTTTGACACCTGCTCTGGTGGGTTTCAAAGCAAGCAGGCTGTGGGGCTGAGGATTAGTTTGACTCAGTGGCGTGTGAGGAATGTCTGCTGGTGTTTTAGCAGCCCTGCTGCCTGCTAATGCCCTCAAACCATGGACTGTGACAAACGTCTTCCCTCTTCATGTTTGAAAATTCAAAACCTGAACTCTAAGGAAATCTTACCCTGGTCTAACACCACGCTTTCCCCCTCACCCCTCTTCCCCCATTTGCTCTCAGTAGTAATTTTAAATTCACTGTGTAATTTTAAGTTCAGCATCACCAAATGCTGCCTGGTGCCAGCCAGGTCTTCTCCCTTGGCTGTGAGCATCTGTGGCAAGGACACTTCGTTGCATGAAAGGGGGGACCTGGACAGAATGAAAAGCTGATTTTTAAACTATTGCACAGTTGTGTTGGTTTTGAAAATAAAGGTTTCTGGTCCACTGGGGAACTTGAGTGTGCTGGGCTGGCCAGAGCTGAGGGTGATGGTGCTGCCTCAACCACTGAGAGCTCCCAGTGCAGGGACCTGCCTGGCCTGGGCTTTGTCACACGTGGGGAAAGGTTTTAAAAGGAGTTACAAGAAGTTGGAAATTGGATGCTGAAGAGTCACATTAGAATAGAGGAGTTCTGGTACTTTTGGTACATTCAGGTATGTTGTTTACTGTGTGCTGGCATCCTTTGGGTGCAGAGGACCTGTCTGTGGTTTGCAGGTGTTGTCCCCTCCCGTGGGTATCCTGGAAGGGCTCTGGGGTGCCAGGGTCTCTGCTAGAGCCCCGTGTTGCTGATCACAGACGTCTCCTGGCTTTGCTGGGGCTGCTGTCCTGCAGAGCAGCCCTGCTGGGGTTATTTCACTGCAATTCCCTCATGCTGCTGTGGAGCAGCGGGGCTGTCACCAAACCCCCATGGCACATTCACTTGTGACATCTCATTCTGCTTTAAATTAAAGCCCCAGCAAGCCCAGCTGGCTCCCCAGCAGCCTGTGTGTCATCCTGAGGAGTTTGTGGTGTGAAGCTGTCTGCTTCATCATTCGTGATTTTAGCTGAGATTTTTTAAATAGCAGAAGCAGACCCGTTTGGTTTTTTGAGCTGAGTACTAAATCTGTGTGTGCCAGTGTGGTGCTGAGACATTTTGCAGGGGCTGGAGGGTTGGACAGAAGAGTTGAGTGCAAGGGAGGGTGCAGTTGCCATCATCCTCCGTGCAATGAATAAACCAGAGCTGAAGGATTCTCCAGGACTAGCAAGAGATGTAGAGATGCCAAATTATATTCCTGATGACTTGAAGTGCTTGATAAAGACATATCCTCCTTCCAGGAGGAGAAATAAGGTGGCACAGGCTGCAGATGCAGGCACAGGTGTCCTGCACAGGGTGACCGAACAGGTGACACAGTGACCTGTCCTGCTGCCTGTAGGGTGGGTGTGGTCCTGGCAGCTGCTGCTGAGCAAAGGTGTGTTTCAGGCTCAGCACATCCTTGCTTTTACTGAAATAACCTTGTGCTGTTGTTGATTCTTTGTGCTTTGGGGCAGAGGGGTGAATTCCTGAGCTACTCCCAGCGAACAGCACGGCGCGCTGAGAAGCTGGCAGCCGTGGATGTGAATGTCGGAGTTGTTTTGAGCTAAAAGCTGTGTTTTCCTTTGCTGGCTGCCCTGACAGTGTGCTGGGGAGGAGAAGAGGGTGGGCACACGCACCGTGGTGGTCGGGCACCGCCCTGTCCCGGACACCGAGGCGTACGTGGCACAGAAGTTCTGCGACAACAGGATCGTCTCCTCCAAGGTGAGCTGGCCCAGGGGCAATGTCTGCTCGGTTCCTGCTCTGTGCTCACCCTGCTGCTGCCTCTGGCAACCCAGAGAGGCCAAATTCCTCAAGGATGGGTGCAGAGGTGCCAGTGGAGCAGCCTGGTACAGCCCTTATTCACAGCTCCAGTCTCTCTCTTAGTAATTTTTTTTTTTCCCATCCTATCCATGCTAGTGGGGATGTGGAAAAGCTCCTTTCTTGTAGTCTGGATGAGAGCAAAGCACATCGACACACTGATTTTTGTGGGGTTGGGGGTTTTTTTAGGTTTTTATTCAAAGTTTTCTGGCAACCCCTTTGGGAGGAAAAGACAGATTAGGTGTATAATACAGCATGAGGTAACAGCAACTCAAATTTGTAAAAGGGAGTGGCAATATTTTATAAAGGGATATAAAAATTATTCCTTTTTTTTTTTTTTTTTGTTCTGTGGGATTTTTCCTTCTTGAGATAGGACAAAAATAACCATTCTCTGTTTATCCCTTTGGATGAAAGGGGGGGGGAAACATTCATATGGTATTAATGCAGCTTTTGTTGATGGTGGAAAACTGTGATGACACCCATCTGCCTTCTGCTTCGCTTTTTCCCGTGACATTCATGAAGCTATTTCAAAAGATTTGGAGCCAACTCGAGTAAAATATCAAACAAGTGGCATTCATGTTGTCAACACAGCTGGAAACGTTTCCCAGTGCTCAGGATTCACTTGGTGATGCTCAGCACACACTTAGGCTCCAGCTCTGCTCTACTTGAGCTTCAAGGAGGTTGTTCCCTCTCCTTCCTTTCTTTCTACATCTTGGATCTTATCTGGTTTTTTTTGCATGTCTGGGTTTATTTTTGGGAAGAGTTATCAGTGTGGCCGTGTTTAACTTGTGGAGTGTTCCCACTGACGTTTCCCTGCAGTGAGGACACCTTCCCCCATCTCAGTCCCCCCCTGACAAATGATTTGCTTTAGCACTAATTTTAGTTCTTCCTTGATTTATTTTTTGAATGTTATGTCCTTGCTTTTTTTTTCCTTTTATATTTGCTAGGCCTGGGAGCTGACCAGTCTATTTTATAATTAAATGGACATTGGTCTTGGGACTTGGCTGCTTATTTTTTTTTATTCCAGACAGACTGAAAGATAGATATTAGACCCATTATTTTCCATGTTGTTCTTAAATTCCATGTGCCTTCCAGAGTAAATGATTCAGCAGCCTTCTTAAAATTATAATGAAGCACAATCTAATGCTGAATTTGTAAGGGCAGCATGGCTTTTATTTTTTTTTTTTTTTGTTTTAAAAGCAGCTCTAATATGGTTTTGGCAATTTGGAAAAACAACATCCACTGTGGGTTATGTTGTAATGAAATCAAGTGTCTACCACTGCCTTTTTAGAAGTTGTTTCTCTGTGACACTTGTGGCTGCTCAGTGCTCCAGCAGGGACAGCTGGAGGCTGCAGCAGGAATTGGGTGCATTTGGAATCTCAGCACCCAGAGCTGCTCGGTGTCCTGGAGCCCTGCAGCTCTCTGTGCTCCCCCTGCCCCTCCTCTGCACCCTCTGGGGGTGCAGAGCATCCCCAAACTGCAGCTCTGCTCCCTGCCAGCCTCGGTGTGTTGGTGAGTGCCCCTCTCTCCCCACAGTACACCCTCTGGAATTTCCTCCCGAAGAACCTCTTTGAGCAGTTTAGAAGAATTGCCAACTTCTACTTCCTCATCATCTTCCTCGTGCAGGTAAGAGCTTTGATGCTAAGAGTGAGTTTTCTTTAGGCACTGATGGCAAACACAGCTTGAACAACAATTGAGCTTTAAAACTCTTAGGGCTTATAAGAGTTTGGGAATTTTTGAATTGGAAGCTGTGTTATAATTCTGCCACACCATCCAAGGCATAAAAATAATTAAAATAGATGGGGTCTGAATGACTGCTGAAACACTGAAAAAGCATCTTAATTCTAACTGTTAACATCATTCAACCACTGATGCTACACAATTAAGATCTATTGTTTTGTCACCATTGTTATTTGTTTCATAACTATATTTCCCCAAGTGATATGATGTTTTTATGTCTCAGATATCATGAGTTTCAAGGCAAGCAGGGGAGATAGGATGAACTCAGTAAAATTCAGAAAATGCATAAGATGAGTTTTGGAAACCTGAAGCTTCGGGAAGTTGCTCTGCATGGGCAAAACAGCAAATTTATTATAGGCACAAGCTTTTCCTGCTCTGCTTTTTGGCTTGGGGGAAGGGGAAAATCCTGAGGAATTTCATTTTCTGTTCTGTCATCCAAGCTGTCAAAATGCTCAGGGGCAAAGGGAGTTTGGGAGAATCACTGCAGTGCCTTTGCTCACCTTTTAAACCCTCAGCTCTGGGGCTGGAAATGGGCACCAGAGCTCCAGCCCAGCAAGGGCAAAGGGAAGCTGGGGCTGCTGCAGGGGTTCAGCACTGGGATCTCACTCTGTCCTCGGCTCCTGATGGAGCCAGGAATGCTTTGTGATGTGAAGGGCTCTGCCTGCAGTCAGAGGCTGCTGCAGGAGCAGGGATCCCCAGCCATGGCTGTGAGAGCCTCCCCTGGCAGTGTGACATGAAAAGCCAATTTACTCCAGCGTCAGCTGGCTCGCCTCCATCTCCTCATTTCGCTGGCCTTGCTCCATTTTGTCAGCCCCAATTTGTAATTTGCCTTGAACTGAAGCGATACCCTGGAGTCAGGGTGTCCTTTTTGTGTAGCTGGCCACTTAGTGACGTGCTGTTACATTTTATCTATTGACCCTCTGGCTCTGGAGAACGTGGAACATTCCTGATTATAACACAAACCTGGTTTCAGTCTAGCTGCTTGCCCATTTTAGGCACAGGTGGGAGAAGAGCCTGGCTGTTCCTCCTGGTCTTTATTCTGTGGGCACCTCTAAAATCGGGAAGCAGCTCTCCTGGTCAGAGAACAAACCAACCCAGCTGGGCACAGCCCAGGCTGACAGCAGTGACCACTGTAGAGCAGCCCCTGCCCCCAGCTACTTGTCATTCTGGAGATGTCACCTGCCTTAAAAAGGCACCCAGGGCCACTCCATGCAATATAACTACCGAGGGTTATAGCTTGAAAAATGCCACCTCTGTCTTAAATGTTCATGCTTACCTTTAAATTTCTGTGAATGAATGGGGCTGTCCCAGCTGGTTGCTGCATGAGGAGTGGAGGGTCACAGTGCTGGAGGAATCCCTACCTGCTGTGAAACTCTTTATCTAAACACCTGCTTCTCTGGGACCCCAGACCCTGCTCTTTGTCAGACACAGTCTGGGCATTAATCATGAAGCAGGCTGCCCACAGACAGGGACACAAGGGGGCTGTTCCTTGGCTGTTCAGCACCTGCAGGAATCTCCTGGTGGAAGGGCTGGCCTGGGGTGCCACAGCCCAGGTGTGTCTGCAGACAGGACAGGTGGCAATGGCTGTGTCAGGAGCTGCAGCAGTGAGAAGAGGATGAGGAGGAAAATGCAGAGAATTTCTGGAGTGTGGTCCTTAGTGTCCTGAGGACTCTTGTAAGAAGAAACTCTTAAGTAACAGGAGGACTTTGTCACTTTTAAGTGGGTTCAAATTAAGCTGTTGAAGTCCTAAACCAGTCCCAAAATAGTTTCAGGAGTCTGCCTTAGTCCTGGCTTGTTGCTTGTGTGTCCCTCAGCTTTTCACCAGCTACAAAGGGGAGAAGCAGTGTCTAGCCACAGGGATTTTGCAGGGAGTCCAAACTCCAAATGCATATATGAATTATTCTAGGCACTTCATCTGATACTGTGTTCCTATATCTGTAATCCTATATCTATGTGGACAGAAATGGTATTTTTTTGATGTAAATGCATACAATTGCATCTTGTCCAGTGCAGGAAACTCTCCTGGGCAGCAGGAGATCCTCAGCTTTGCCCCTCTCAGCAGAAAGCCCAAGTTCTTTTTGGATTCCCAAGAATTTTTGTCCACTTCTGTCCAGTTTTTGCAGGATAACCTTTGGCTTACTGGCCATCCCCTGTGCAGTGTCTGTGTGACATTTGGCACTGTCCTCACTTTAGGCTGTTCCTCCAAAGTGGGGTTTCTACCAGACTTTCAGCTTGGAGACATTTTACACCCATTTGAGTGAGCCAGGGCTCACTGTACCTGGAAATATTTTTGGTGTTTATCTTGGTTTAGCCTTAACTCATCTGCCATTTATCTGGCTGCTTCTTGTGGTGTATCTCTTCCACTTGAGAATCTTCTGGCTTTTCTCTCTGGCTTCAGTAGTGCAGGGCAATATTGCAGTGAACAGCATTTCATGGTCAAAAATGTCCACGTAGCTGATAAGAGGAGCCCTGCCCTCAACACAGCTTTTCACAGGCAGCCTGGAACAATAAATATCCAAATGCTGCTGGTGGAGAGCGTGCTGGGGAAGCACAAACAAGAGACAAAGTCCCTTTGTGGGGACACAAAGCCTTTCTGCTGAGTTTCCCCATCCCTTTCATCAGAGCCCTCATCATCTGCCTCTCGTGCTCCCATTCTCTCCAGGAGAGCAGGAAAAATGACCAAAAGTTTGTGGTGTGTTGGTTTGGAAGGTGGAAAGTGCTTCCCTCCCATTTATGAACCTGTCCTGCCTTTCTTACCCTTTGAGCCAAGTCCTGGTAGTGTCAGGAGGAGCAGTGGTGTCCCTCAGCCTGAAGGTTTAATTAAAGATCCAGGGGCTTGGTGCTGGCTTGAGCCCTGGGCTGAGCTCAGGAAGGATCCAGCTCTGTGCCCCAGGGCCCCTGTGCAGCCACGGTGCTCTGAGCTCCAAATCTGAGAGCTTAGAGACAAAGCCTGGATTTCTGCTTTACTGCAATATTCATGTTCTGTTCTGCAGTGTATTTCATAGGTAATTTGGGATGATGGGTGTTATTTTTAGCCTCCCAATGTCCGTGGTTCAGGATGGCTGGTGCTGCCCTCCCTTTCCCAAGCAGCCCTTTCTCCTGTGCTGGGCTCTGACCTGCCCTCAGTGGCTCAGCAATGCATTTTTGTCTCTGCAGGTGATCGTGGACACCCCAACCAGCCCCGTGACCAGTGGCCTCCCACTCTTCTTTGTCATCACTGTCACAGCCATCAAACAGGTACAGGGTCAGTGTGGGGAGGAGAGGATGAGACAGGTGGAGAAGGTGGATTCTGAGTGTATTTAAACATCTCTTAACACGTGCAGGTGGGTTTGGTGCAGCCTCCCTAGGGGTGAGACAGGCACTGGTGCCCCTCAGGAGAGGCTGAATTTCAGTGTGGGCATTGGTGTGTCCTGTCCTGGCACTGCACAGCATCCCTGTGCTGCCGAGAGCAGCAGGGAGGGCCAGTGAAGCTTTCTGCTCTAGCTCTGGTGTTACTTGGACGCTTTTTTCTCTTGGAAACACTCTTTGAGTCCTTGCAGAGATGTGCTCCAAATACACCCACACCCTGCTCCCGTGTTGGTAGGTGGAAAGGACAGGTTCTGTTCACCCCCTCAGCTAGTCCTGAAAACGTGTAATCCTCATCTCCTTGCAGTGTTAAAAGACCTCTTGCCTCCCATCACAGGCACACATGCCATTTAAAATTTCCTGCTTGAATAATAAAAGAAGTTTCTTCTACGGGGGCTGGAAAGGGAGAGCTAGAATAAAATCTATCTGCTTCAAATCTCAATGTTTTATTCTTCCAGTAAAGGCTGAAGAGGAAGAGTCTCATCCTGCATTACCATAGGAAGGAGTTGCAGGCTGCTGGGTGTATTTTTCATATTATCAGTCTGTTCTTAGCAAAGCTGAGAATAATATAAATATGTTACAGTAGTTTGGCTGCTCGTTGCATGCCCTGCATATAGATTATTTTTGTGTTATTTTAATCTGTTCTGAATCTGTCAAATATGCATATTGAAGTTTTTAAAATAAATTGATTCAGTCTGAGCTACTGTGGTTGATGTTTTGTCAGGCATGAAGGAGGTCTGGGGACGGTTATTCATTGTTTTCATGTGTCCCTCTCATCCTCACTCCTCTTTTTGCAGTAGTTTGCTCACTGTTTCACGAGTTTGTTGCCTGTGTCTGTGCCTTAGGGGTACGAGGACTGGCTGAGGCACAGAGCTGACAACGAGGTGAACAAAAGCAACGTCTTTGTTGTCGAAAATGCAAAGCAAGTGCGGAAGGAGAGTGAAAAAATCAAGGTAATGTTAACGGAGAGCCTGGAAGTGGCTCTCAGTGAGGCTGGTGGGAGCACAGAGCTGTGAGCTGAGGGGACAGGGGAGGGCTGGGCTGGCTCAGAGCTGCCCCAGCCTGCTCACCTACACATGAGAAACTGCCAGAGCTGCTCCCAGTGAGGGAGTGAAGCTGCCTTTGATTGCTTTTGAAAAGCTGTCTCACAAAAGCTGTACCAGGGCTGACGAGTGACAGATCTGTCAGCATCCTGCACTTCTCCAGGACAGGCAGTCCTCTTCTATTTCCAACTCTCCCAAGGACACCAGGAAAGTACACTTAGCTTTGATGTTAATTTATCACACCACACTTCAGGCAAGTACAGTCTCCTGTTCCATCAAAGATTTAGCAGAGAAATGGCCCCTGGCAGTGCCAGGGCGA